GAATGAGCAAGCCCTACAGCGTCAATGTCAATTACATACAAGAGAAAGAAAAGTAGGTGCTTATTGTCTTCTGGCAGGCACGTTGTTGTGCACAAGCTGGAGAGGCAGCACTGAGGTTATATACTGGATTAGGGATGTCAACTCGACTGTATCAAATAAAATATTGATATTCAAAAGGTTTCCCGTGAAATGCCGTTTGAAATCAATCCGGACTAATGTTAACATATAACTCTAAATTCTACCCTCCATCAACTGGGTTGCCCGGACAAAACTTAACCTAATTATTTGCACCTGCACATTTGCAGCATTGCACGAGCTATTGCGTGTGTGCGTGTGGCCGTGTCTCAGCGTGTGTAATGAGTGTGTTGTCGGCGGGGAAGAAGAGCTTACTAAGACAAACTGCCTTATGATCCACACATCAGGTGTGTAACAATCCTCTCCTGCCTATAACTTTTTCAAAAAACCCACACAACAAAAAAAACAGGAATAAACTTGTCCGCCTCACAACATGCCGGTCGTTCCCTACTACCTCACTCCCCAACCACCCCTTCTGCTAACTGCTGGGGCTGAAGAAGCGTCTCTGGATCCCGTCTGTCCGCAGCTTCACACATCGAGAGTGACAAAGCAATCCTATCACCGCTCTTCATTCACCCCCTTGAAGGTAATCATTTGCTAAGTTTTATAAAAGCAATACGTCATTTTAAAATAAATCATGATGTCACTGTTTCAACTATTCAAGATGATTAAGGCCCTGATCGCTTTAGCAGCTGAGGACTACCTTTGGTAATCGTCTTCTACTTTATGCCAAAAAACACTGCTCCATTTTTCACCGGGGTTCTAATTTGTTGAAGATTTGCATCATGTTTCCCCCACATCAAGGAAATGGGTTTTCTAAACACGTATCAACAATTGTACCGATGAGTAAAAGTTAGTCTTGGCTCTGTGCTTTGCATACATTAAGATCCACAGCACAACGCACTTTCAAAAGAAAAGGGCCTTTTGAAAACACAATTCAGGTGTTGTTTCAGGATGGACTGAAATAGATACAACACACAGCACACTCAGATGTTGTTGCTCAGGTGTTGCTGAGTTATCGACTTCTCTCCACTCATGCTCAATCTGGTGGAACAACCTTTGACCTCATAGACTGATGATGCTGACAGCCGGCTGAGGGATGGCCTCGGTCAGACGCCTCTGCTGACCTGCGAGCCGTGGTTCACCGGTCACCAAAGACATACTGCACAGCGTGGCTTAACACATGTGTGAGGAGATATTTACCCAAACATTATCCAAACGCACACACAAGTATGCATGTACACGTGCACAGACGTGCAGATGTAGACAAAACCATTGTCTTGTATTCCCTCCTTCGTGTCTAGAAATTCCCGGATTGAAACCATTTAATTTATTTACTTACTAAAAGTTGATTATATGGGGCGGATATTCCTTCAGGCACCTAGTAAATATGTGCCATCACCTTATGGTAATTAATGCGTGGATGGATAGTTGTTTACACTGTAGATTCAACTCGGCACAAAGTGCAGAAAACGTAGCGAGGCCAGCTCCACCATTTAAGCTGTCGGAGTTTTCAAAGACAACCTTAAATCAAATGGCATTTTGTTTAATGTTTAGAGGAATGTGAACAGGGCAAAGACAGACACGTCTGAGTTGTAAACTGCAATCATCGCAATTTTAAAATTGTAGTCAATGAGTGGTGAAGTAATCTCACTCAACATTGTCATATTCTTTTTTTTTTCATAATCGATTCTATTCACAGGGTATTTTTTAGATTTTCTTAACCACCTGAAGTAAGGAGAACACGAATGATATTCAAGAGCATACGCGGTCGGATCACCATTCCCTGCCTGGTTTTACTGACCTTTACTACAAGTCTAACACCAAGGAACAAAAGGTCACGCGAGGCACCAATCTGACAAATGGCAAAAAACATCAACACCACTTCAGTACCAAGGAGAGAGAATGCTACTGGTTGGACGTTCTAATCTAGGTGAACCACTTTTTAATCAGCAGCAACAAAAATACCATCTTCACCGTCAACAAATGGACGAAATCAGATATGCCGCTCAGAAAGTTTTGCCGTCAACTCAAACAAAATTATTACTCCGTAACAAATGCAGATATATATGTTTTACTAGTTCTATACATTTCTTTTTTAAGCCTACTTCAATCCTAAAATAATTAATTATTCAGTATATTCAAATTAATCAAAAATCCTGCAAGACTTAATTATCAAATTAATTCTGCAAGTTTCATTATACACCCTGCAGATTGACGGAAACTAACTTTATTATTTCAAAAAAGGGGTATCAGAGAAAAAAAAGAATACTACAATACCCCAAGAATTGAGAGATACAGCAAAAGGCAGATGAATAGCCTAATGCATGATACCAAGTCCTATACAGGACAGCAATGAATGCTTATTTATTGTAAATGAATTATTTAGAATGTTGCTTTCATTATTATTTTGACAAGTAACAAGCGGCAATACCTGTGCTCACGTCGCCTTTTTGGTTTGTTTGTTGTGTTGTTTGGATTCAAATAATGTCACACTATAGAAAGAATTCTTTTCAATTCTTTTGAAATTTCCCACTTACTAAATTCGATTCTAAAAGAGTTAATTGGATCTGTTCCCAGACAGATCCAATGTCGCTTTACAAACACTGTATTTAGGGCAAACACAGGATGCACAAATGAAAGCCATCTTCTTGACTTGTTTGCACCGGGAGCAAGGTCTCACTCCTTCCTTCTTGCACCTTCACAAACACACACACACACACACACACACACACGCACACACACACGTACACAAACATATTTCTGTCCCCACTTGGAAAGCCTCTCAACTTTTTTTTCGCTTCATTCAGTACAAATAACTTCACGGTGGGATAAAAGCATAATGTTTCTAGAAAACCTTCTCCCCCCCACTATGCTACACTCTTTTGGCCCCAAATTCTCCTTTAATTTTCCCTCCACCCCCCTTCTCTTGTGCTTTCTGTCCAAAGGGACTTTCTTATTTCATTAAAGGGGGGTTGGAGGCCAAGAGGGTAAAAAGAACAAAACTCTACAACCAACAGCAGGACATACACAACCTCAATGCGCCAATCAGAGCACCAGAATCCTTTTAGAGGGAACCATGGAAGCTCAAAACTTCAACTTGCTCACTCAAACTCAGCACTCAGGTTTGTGTGTAATTCCAAATCTAGCAGAGCACTGGGAGTCACGATTATCCATAAAGAACACCAATCAAAGTATGTATCTGCGAAGACACAATACATTCGTATACGCACACACACACACACACACACACGCGGATCCCCCGTTTTGTCTATCGGTGCTGTCATCTCTGTTTGCTCGTATTAGAAAGGGCTCACCCAGGGACAGGATATGGGGATTAGGTCGGGCCTTATTGCACTGTAGCTACACACCGCTAAATGGCTCCCATCTGTTCTCCCATTGAGAATGGCTAATACACGATAGCTGTGCATGCATTTTGCACTGCCAGAATAACAGCGGTGGATAGATGAGCAGCACTGATATCGCTAGCCACAACACCAGTCTGTGCTATAGGCTAATGTGCCCGGCTTATTCTATTAGATCGGGATAAGAGGCACTAATACGCACACGCGTGCACACACACACGTGCAGACACACACTAGCACAATATCTGATTGGAGATACCGAAGCAGTAGCCTAGTCATGGATCCCGCTGTGGGTTCACCTTGAAGTAACATAAGTTAGAGGCGGGCAAGAAAATCAACTAGCGAGAGGTGGAAAGAACAGGAGCGATGGAAAAGAGATGGAAGGATTGAAAGAGAGGTAGAGAGGGGGCAGTGTGGTGTGTTTCATTACGGTGAATCCTGACACGGCTGCATTCTCAGCACACATGGACTGGATTATAGGCTATGTCGGCTGCTCCGGCACTGGATGGCTCAACAACGCTCTTTTGCACGCACACACACACACACACACACACACACACACACACACACACACACACACACTTACAAATGAACACACAAACATATTAACTAAACCCACTAAATCTTTGCAGTGTAGGAACAAACCATTTGCTATAGGACTCTTAATCCCAAAAGCAGCACTAGGGCATTCTGCATAACTACTAAATTGTTGAGGTTAGTGACTGAGTCTTCTTGTGATGGTCCACCTGTGGATTACTGGGGGAAAAGAATGAGATGCACTGGAAACTATGAGTATACAATGCTGTCCGTTTATATTCCTCTCTCCCATTCACACGAAAAAATACAAGCCCCCATGCCTCTTTTCCTCTCTTTTCTTTCTCTGTCTTATTATATCTATACTCTTTCCATTTTTTTGCTGTCTTTGTCTTACACACAAACACACCTATATTAGCTCCATGCACACCATCAGTTTTATTGCACATGCCCATTTCCGCATGTCTGAATTCAAAGACATCCTGAGTCTATGGAGGGTTACAATATAAAAAACCCTAAACAGGAATTATCCTTTATGACTCTGCATTCTTCATTTTAGTTTTTTTTTCCCTCTTAAAAACGTTTCATGACTGTTCTGTTCTGTGTTCTGTGTTACTCCACACACCAGCACCAAGGGGGTTGCGTGGTAAAACTAGGACTTAAAAAAGTAAGGTGAGGAGACCCGTCAAACTCTGTTTTTTCTCATTGTGTCGTTTTTATCACTTATGGGCCTTGGTACGGTCCCTTTAGACTGCTGGATTTGCGTTGGTCTGATACCACACTGTAACCTATAGCCACAAAGTCCACTCAAAGCATGCGGCACAAGCAGTACATATACTGCTTGGTGGTCTCTGAGACCACTGAGCCTTTAGTTGACTGGAATTCAACTTTTGGTGCCATCAATGTTCCCAACTGTTAGTTAAGCCCATAGAAGGACTATTGCGTAGAGGATCATTAAACAATCTGTAAAGAGTGTATTCACTCTAAAATAGGGGAAATATTTTACAATAGCTTTACAATACTCACGGTGGACAAATCAATCCAGGGTTTCCATGAAGATCATGCCCATATTCCCTCTTCATCGTCCTATGAGAAAAACAAGGAAAGACATGAATAATCATTATCAATACATAAACCATTAGTACTGTACATCCAAATGTCATCTATGTGAAAGAAAATGGCTTCAATTTTGACCGAGCCATTACGAGCTCTTGCCCGGTGGTTGTGTCTTCACAAGTAAATGCTAATTGTACGTGTAAGCAAAACACTCCTGTTTGTGGGCCTCATTCAGAAAAGTTCCTGTAGAATATCACACAATGCTTTCCACAGTGTGATTATTCAGCAACTAAACTAAACAACTAAACACAGAAGGGGTTTCCTCGGGGCTGAAACTGTGCAGGCAGGAGCCCTGCTAACAGGATAGCTAATTCACTCAGACACTAACATTACAATGGTTAGCAGGAGCTGGCAGCTCAGCTTAGCCAAGCTCTTGCCTGCGTAATGCTTAACTAGGCTACGGCAAAGTTGAGTCTATGCTACACAAGAAGGACTTGGCTGAAGTCCACTCTGGCTTTGGTTGGACTGAGTGGTTGTGACAAGCTTGATAAACTGAGTAGGCAACACCTAAGCAGCTAAGCTATGGTTGTAACAGCCTTTCAATGGAACATGCTCAATGCTAAATGCTAACATGCAGTTAATGGCTGTGACAGGCCCTGTAAACAGAGCCAAACTTATAACCGCTCATTCTGCCAGGTTAAACATACACACATGCACACAAACAGCCAAAATACCATATGCTACCTCTCATAAACCTGAAGCAAGCAGCATGTTACGGACTAGAAAAAACGCAACAACCCAAAAGAAGAGTTGTACAATTCTGTCTCGAATAAAAACTTGCTGTTTTTTATTTCCCTCCGAGGCTGCCGCCAAGTACCTGGCAGTAGTCCTGGCATAGCGAAACTGCACACACTCCTCGCTGAGCCAAAGACCTAGGGTGCATCTCAAGAGGTTAAATCCACTTCCTGCGCTTGTCTTGTCTTATTAGATTTCACCTGTCCTCAAAGAAAGTCCGTCATAGATTGAGTAGAGGACCGGGAGTATAGTTAGGGGATTGGGACGGACTCAATATCTGTATCAATGAGCTTTGAATGACACATGGTTTAGCTTAATGGAAAACCTTGAAGTATATTTCGTGCATTTGCATTTATATTCATGATTATTAAATGTGCCAGCTTGGTATTCATGCCGTGTGTACAGTATGTGTCTGCTTTGGGGAAAAGCAAAAAAGAATGCGTGTGTGATCAACGTTGTGTTATGCATGAAGCTGGAAAGGCATTGTGGTCTGCAAGGTGAGTGTGCAGACGCTCTTCATTATCATTATTATTTTTATTATTATTATCATCAATCATCCTACGAGTAATGTTTCTGGACCAGGCCATGCACTGAACCAATGGCCACATTTGGACATTTAAAATTGGAAATATAGTGGTAAAAAGGACTGAAGGAAAGACTAAAAAGAGACAGCGAGGCAAAGAGAGAAAATGTGAGTGTGAAGGAAAAACTCAATAAAGGTTGAAAAAAAAGAATACTGATGAAGAACAGACAGCAGATGTAGAAAAAAAAGCTTCAAAAGCAAAGCTAAATGTGAAGAAAGGATGGAATAATACAAATAATGAAAACAAGAGGAGTATAAAAGGATGGGTTTAAGAAAAACAAATAAGGGTAATTAGTCACATTTAAAAGAGGGGAATTAAAGGAATCCTGCATTTGGAGAGAAAACAGCCTAACCTCAGGGATTTTATTGACACCTAGACTGTGTGACCTGACACACACACACACACACACACACACACACACTGTGACCTGTGCTGAACTTCCCCTAGAGGGTAAAGATCAGATATGAGGGTAAAGCCATGAGGTTATTGGCTGACCTCTCAACGAGGTCTAATGTTTCTGAAGCATATGACACAAAAGGCAGAACAGAGAAAGAACAAAATAAAAAATAAAAAAGTTGTGAATGGCCGACAGAAGGAGGCGATATTACATTAAAACATATCTTTCAATTTCACATTTAGTGCCAATGCAATGATTCTGCAGCCTAGACTCAATTTGCAATATTTGTGTGTGTTTGTAGGTATTTTGTATCAAACCAATGTCCAATCAACAGCTATTGTTTCCCCCCCCCCCCCCCTTTAATAACAATTTCACTTGAATTCTTCCCTCAAATGGCCATTTTATTGACATACACATTCTAATTTATAGAAAGAACTATTGAGTCCAGATTATTTTGTTTCTCCGTGGATTCTTAAGATTTCCCAGCACTCCTAATAATACTTTCTTTACTGGGCTTTTAAATCCTACTTGAAAAGTTGAAATACCACCTGCAGAGAGCTACTGTTTATTATGTCAAACACTCATGCAGTAATATATTGCCAGGTAGACATATTGCAGGAAAGACGTTTAGAAGGGCCAAGTAAAGAAGATTAATCTTTGATACTAAACCGCCTTTGCAGTGAACTATTTAATATGGGGCATACCCTAGTTGGGAAGTATTCTGCAATACAATAGAACAAGGCTTAATAGCCTGATAATATAATTTTGGCAAGCCACAACATCATATAACGTAATGACTCCACAGTTACAATTTGAAAGGGGTCCTTGTAGGATTAAACTGTGGTTCCACGTGTTAAACTATTTTCCATGTCGATAGCTTGCCTACTCTAGACGTTGATATCCATAATTATACACCGCTTGAAGCTCCACAGTTTTTTTAATAACTGTAACCTGCTGTGTGAGATTCTGTCTGGAAAATATATATATATGGATGTCAATCAGCACCAATTATTTTAGAAATCAAAAATAGTTTTAGTCTGCTGGCTTAAATGGTAAAACTGGCTTCCCTGTCCTTTTATGTATTGCCAAGGTATGTGTGGGGTGATGCATGTACAGGATTGTGTGCTTTATATGAGTGTGTGGGGATCCCAGGTGCATCTTTGACTTCAATTTAGCGAGCAGTTTTAGAAACATTCTAAACGTCGAGAAACATATAATAGGGGATGTCAGATGAATGTGGAAATCCCCAGATATTTCTCTTAAAGCACAAAACATTACAAACACACACACCCACTTCATTCTCCTAGTTTGGAATCCCCCCAATTGACAATAGAGCTGTAATGTGCTGATATTGCATTCAGTTACCTGAAAGCTTTGATAACAGATGGAAAGACCGTTAATCTATCCTTTCATGGGCTAATTAAAGGTCTTTGTAGATTTCCTCCCCTGTTAGTGATTTAATCTGGGTGCATTGTATCATCAAAGATTCAGCTGTGCACTGCAATCGATGCATGCGCACTTACCCAAACACTCAAAGACTGCTGATGACAACAACAGTTCTCTTCGGCTCCCTTCATACCGACACATTTAGTGTGTCCTCAGGGCGGTCTGTTTGTGATACAGACACTACGAGAAGGAGCTTATATTACAGATGAATGATGTATAAACTTCATTCCCTTCGATCAAAACATTTATTTGGCAGCGTTTACGTCGGGGCCTCATATCTAAATGATATGAATAACTTCCTTGGCAGGAAGTAATGGGGTTCAACAGAGAAGAGGCGGCGGAGAAGAGAGAAAGGGGAAATTGTATGCTGCCAACCACAACTGGCGTTGGAGATGACAAATATATAATTGCACCATTAAAAAAGACGAGGGCCCCGAACATGTCCTGTTGTGTTATGTGAACAAGTTCAGACTGGTTGGTGCGTGTGTGTGTGTGTGTGTGTGTGTGTGTGTGTGTGTGTGTGTGTGTGTGTGTGTGTGTGTGTGTGTGTGTTTGTGCGTCCACTCTCATATTGACCTGGTCCATACGTGGCCGGTGGTTGCTATGGGCGGGCCCTCTTGGCAGGCTTCGGTGATGCATGTTTGCTGGATGCGAGTGGTGAGAATGGTGAGGATGATGTTGAGGGTGAACGTGATCTTCCTCGTAGTTATCCGCTATCAGCTTCATTCTGCTCTGAGTCTGCCAAAAACAAAAAGGAGATAAACAAGAAAATATAGAAGACATAATTAAAACACTAGGTCTTTTATTTTTCAAGCATTGTTTGTTTGTTCCATTAAAATGTTCCTGGTGTCTCGGAATGATTAGGCTGAGGCTATTTTGGATGGGGTAGAATCATGTTGAGAGCCTTCAAAGAGGGTAAAAAAAAGTGCCTCTAACAACACTTGACAGTTCATAAATTGTGTGAGTCGGAGTGCCAGATGAAAGTATTGTAAAACTGTCAAATGTCATGTGTACTGCAGATTATAATTTAATTGGATTAGACAAAATCTTAGTAAGAACAGTCACTGAGTGTTTCATCTCGCTATAGGGCCACAGGCGTTTTTACATGTCCTTGATGCTGATCAATATTATTAAAGATGCCTTTTTCTGTATGCGATGTCTATGCAAGACGGGGTGTCTTTGCCTCTGTGAGTATATGTGGAAGACGCTGACATCTTGCTCACATTGCTGCTTTGTAAAGAGATAACAGACAGGATGACTAACGCTAACAATCAGCTAAACTCCATCCAGCTGTCTGGACGACAGACAGAGACAGAGTGGGTGCAGATATATTGACATGCTCAGCTTTATTCTCTTTACTGCGCATACTTCCCCAAGGCGGGGCATGACTGCAGAGCGGGAAGTGGGGTTGTGTATTCAACGAAGAGGATTTGAAGGAAAGACGGAATGGAACATCATCTGTTGTTCAAAATGTTGCGGCTTCCCATGTTTAAATGAGAGACAGCCACGGCGGGATGAGACAAGAGCCCGGGGAGACAGGTGGGAGAGGGTGCTACATTAGCGAGAAACCTGAGGACATCCCTGCTGAGATAAGTTGCTGAGGCCTAATGACTGAGGAAACGAGCCGGTCGGGATCACAGGAGAGGATGTGGCTACTATTAAAGAGCTTAGCAATTAGCTTAAACGGGAGGAGAGCTGGTTAGATAAGGCAAGAACACTGATAACGTGGTAGGAGGGAAAGAGAGAGACGGAGGTAAAGATGAATCGCCAGGGATGAAGGAGGACTCGGATAACAGAGCCCCCAGACCAGTGGTTAGATGACTTAAAAGCCAGGTTGAGGTGTACTGCCGGCCCCTTGCGACCTAAGGTGTTGACACTAGCAGGTGTGACTGGGCGGTTCTAGCCTCGATGCAACAGTTACAGAGCTGACACCTGTCATTAAGATGAGGACAAGTACTATCCTATACCGTGCAGCTGATCACGCTGTGAATGCTTCCATACTGACTCAATTCCCAGTGCTTACTTAAGCTGATTCATTCTGATAAAGAAATAATACCACAACGAATCAGAAACTAAGGGTCAAAAGTGGCTTGTGTGTCTTTATTATAGGACCGTAGCACATCATCATCTAATTACAACCATATTTGGTAGGATGACGTGCGTGTGTGTGAGTCCGTGGGTCTGATAACCTTTGACAAAAACACAATTGAATGATGTGATGAATCGCTTCTGGAAGAATCTCACTGTGTGGTCAGGATAGCCAACATGTGGCCCTCCACATTATTAATATTCATCAACAGACACACACACACAGATGACAAAACACACACATCCACTTTCTTCTCACCGCCATATTCCAGTATGCATGTGCAAACAAGTTGATCCAATATAAAATGTATACGTGCTGGAATGTGTGTTTTAATTAGTGTTAATTAGGCACTCTGCAGAGTAAACAGCTCAGTAATGGCCTCCAGGTCTGCTTGTAGATCAGACAGCCTGGAATAGACACAGGTGCCACTGCTGGGAGAGGAGAGGAGAGGAGAGGAGAGGAGAGGAGGGGAGGGGAGAGAAGAGGAGGGGAGGGGAGGGGAGACATCTCTAACCATAACAGATTTTTTCTGTACTGTGTGTGTGTGTGTGTGTGTGTGTGTGTGTGTGTGTGTGTGTGTGTGTGTGTGTGTGTGTGCGCAGTGAGTGCTCTCTGCATGTGTATCAAAGTGCAGCTGCTGGCGTAAACATGGCAGCGATGATCTCGCTGCTGAGCTCACAGCTGCATCCCAAAGCTCAGTCCAAGCCCTCTGTAAATCACAAGCGTGTCCTGATTAGAGCAGAGCTGTTTTACACACATATGGGCACAGGAGGCTGACGAGAAAGGCCTTCGACGCGCAGCTGGGTAGAGGTTGCGCAACACTTACACGTACACCTGTAATCAAATCATGTGTGTTTCTGTACGTGTAAAAACTGAGCAACACAGAGACCAAGCAGGCAGGTGATTTTACATAAGCCCTTCAAAATGATGCACCTCTGAGAACCAAAAATCGCTCTGTTCCTCACAGAGAGAGAGGATGGATACAAGAAACAGGCAAGGGAGGAGAGAGAGAGGAAAAGGAGGGAACACTTTCCAGGATTACATCTTTTGTCATCTTTAAAGCACTAGTGGCATTTGGCCATCCTTCACTAGGATGGGGCCACTCAAAGAATTCCCACTAGGGGACACACTTCTTTGGGAAGTTTAAACACGACACTCTTAATTTGTGATGGTGTGTGTGTGCGTGTGTGGCTGTTTCGTTATAAATCTGTTTTTTGTGTGCCCTGAACAGGGCCTGTGCCTCAAAGGGATGCAAACTGAGAAAGGAAAGTTTGTCTTGGACCAGAGGCCTTATGCACACACACACACAATCTTCAGAAGGAGGGATGTGGGGAGGTCAGACAGGGCACCGCTATCTGTAAATCTATCTGCTCTCTACATATCAGCTTTCTCCTACGAGACTCCGAGTCCCATAATTCTTTGGCATTTCCTGATCAGCTTCCTTCCGCAATTGTGCTGTTGTGGACCTCAGGAAGGCAACCTATCCTGAAATGTGTGTCAATGGCCCCAGAGGACAGAGAGCCGGTTTATGGGTCGCATTAAACAACATGACTTCCAGAGAGCTCCTTCTGACTCCTTATGGGAACTACTGACCTTACACCCACCCCCCCCATAACATGAAGCGCTGACCTGAAGTCTCACATAGCACGGTCTGGTAAAGCGTTGCACTTAGCAGTAGCATTAACATGGACACATATGCGTATTTACCTGAAAACCTGCTACGTATGAGAAAGAAGACACAAATAAGGTTTATGTGCTGCTCGCTCCTCTCATTTCCTCTCATTTTCTTTTCCTCCTCTCCTCTGCTCGAGTCCCGGGGGCCCTTTGTTGCAAATAGACCTCCTCACATCATCAGGTGGACTTTAACTGCTGCTTACCCAAAGGGGAAAACATGACGCATCCCATGGCAATAAAATGATAATACGTTTTCCTTGCAGTCCCTCAAAGGGAATTACGCCCCCTAGAAACTGTTTACCGTTAACGAGACACGAACAAACATGAGTCCGCGCCGAAGTGCACACCCGGACAGTGCATCTGTTGACTTTTAAATGCACCATGTTTCCCAGAAGCCCCTGTGACTCAGGAGACCTCATATGCGGACCCCATGCTGTTGTCTCCTAATTGTTAGCGTTCACATTAGTTCAGTGACTGATTTTGTCTGACCAGACCTTAAACCGTCATCTGCCTCAGGTTACAAAGCCAGAATGTGGGTTAGTATGTTTCTGAGTGTGTTATGGGAATGCTGTCTGTGTGACCAGATGATGTGAGACACAAAAATCCACAAGTAATTCATTCATAAACCCAACGCACGTCTGCAAGTCAAGTGCATCCAATGATCTCGGTTTTCCTTGTGTATTTATGAGACTAGATGTGAATAGCTTCTCCTTGACTGGTTCTGCTCATGATGACTGAAAGTAGTTAATGTGGTTTGAGGAGGGAGAGGTCTACTCTGTTAACTACCGCACATTATTAACCTCTATCTGATCCTGGTTTTAAAGTTCATAAGTGCCCAGGCTGTTTTAGTGAAGGCTTAATCACCGTCGGCAGGTTTGACTTTGCACGGCTGCTTTGATTCACATGCTAAACCTGCCATGTCAGACTCCATTTGTTTCATGTTTAGGAGTTCTGTAAATGTAATGATTCATCTATAAATAGTTTGGTGGTCACGTGTGGTGGATGTACCTGCTGTTTGAGCTGGTGCATGAGTTTGTCTTTCTCCCTCTTCAGCGCCATCACTTCCTCCTGGGATTTTTTCCTTTTGGAGGAGGATAACTCCAGCAGGGCAATGTTAGCATCCTTCTCACTGATGGCTGCCAGCAAAGCCTGCTGCCTGAGGGGACGGGAGTGGGAAATGGGGAAGCGGAGTAACAGGAAATATAAGGAATGTTATTGTAAATTGACCAATTCACAATAACAGAAAAGACTAAATATATACATCCCTGAAACCAAAAAAAGAAATTGAAATGTGGAAATTGTTTGCATAGTCAGAAAATAAACAGGTACACAGCGCAGATACGGAGCAACTACGTCTGCAGCTGTGGGCCCCGTTTGGTATTACAGATGTCAGTGCAAACCTACTCATCCCAAAGCTCCTTAAACAGACGGAGATTCCAAAGAAAAGAGAGACATCTTTGAAGTGGTCTGCTAAGTGCTGTTTTAGTGCTACCTCACTGTGACTCATGGATATGTAATAGTGTAATGGAGTCTAATAGAGTAGGCTGAGGAGGATATGACATCTTTACCCTGTCACCGCTGGTTACAACAGTGTGTTTCTGTGAGTGTGTATATGGGGCGAGAGGGCAATCACAACTGTCTCCAGGTGCAGAGAAAACTCACCACTGAGCTTCATGCACACACACTACACACACACACACACAGGACTCAGAGAATGTCTCACGTAAACCTTCGAGAGAAGTCTGAGCCTTTGGAGGTGATACAGCAGGTGATGACTATTGTCGTCACAATGCAGGATGTTGTAAATCCAGTGTTGTGACAAACACACACTCCCCTTTTGTAAACACACCATGAAGCCCAGACATATCATCATAGATTGCCCTTGTATGTACAAAAGGAAAACATACATGTAGTAACAGAAGACAGTGAATCAACTTATGTATGGTTCCTCATCACTACAATCAACCAGTATTCATATGAGCGTAAACTACCGATGCTGGAAGCGGACAATCTAGTGTGTAGGCAATAAAGATATTTGAAATTGGATAAACATAAAGTGCCCTAGGATTTGAAATGAGGAGGGTAGTGAAACCAGCACGGTGTGGTTTAATGTTTAGGTTTTGTGTGAGGTGAGGTATAAATTCTAAATACACTTTGGACATAATTAAAAATTGACCTGAATTTGGAGAGCTTTTATTCCATGATTTGTCCCTGCAAAAATAGCTCAATTGTGAAAATAAACATGCTGTACTCAGAATAATGTCCCGCTGGCCTGGGACTCCACATTTTGTGTTTTTAGTGCAATTATCTGCACGCCGCATCTGGATTCTCCCATTCACCGCCATTAATAGGCCTTTGTGTGTTGTTTCGTGTGCTTGCGTGTTGTGCATGGATTCGCCAGTGCATGCATGTGGGTTCTGACATGGATTTGAGCAACTAATCACACCATTAATCACAGGACAGGACCAACGTGACGTTTTTCGTCTCTGCACACCTCCACTGTTATTCCTTTTAATGCTCACTGTAATGGGAAAACGCACAGACACACACGTAGACCCACACTGGACCAGAGCCTGTGCTGTAGACCGCAGCTTTGTTCTGTCCATTCACAATGTAAAAATGGGGCTAGGAATTCTTACATGTTTTCGATGATACTTGATTTTCAAATCCTTTCAATCCCGGTTTTATATCCACAGCCTAACGTACTCAATGATGGTTATATTGCATCTTAAAAGATGGGCCAGTGGAAATCGAAGTTCCAATCCTGTTTCTTCAGCTGTGTCAAGAGTATAACGAGGGGATGCAGAGAGTCATATATGGTTATGGAATGCGGCACAATGTGTCATAGCTCATAAACAACGTGTCAGATTAACAGCCCTACTTACAGGATTGCCATCTTTATAACACACTGCCAGACAAGCAAAATCCAACTCACAAGTCAGGCCAATAGTCAGCTAACAGTCAGCTAACACTTTTCCTTTTATTGACTGCATGAAAACAGAGCTAAAGAATATTAGTCAGTATGTGACTCTTAATACACATAAAATAACTGGACACTAAGCTGAAAAATAAACCAATGGGAATGGAACCACAATTTTAGAACAATTGGACAATCTAAATGGGTTAAGCATTAGGTGCAGGGCCTACTTGGTTGAGTGCAGTGACAGGTTAGGGAGACTAACCCCCAATCCAGATTTAAAGGGTACGTTTTAGGTTTTAAAGCGTAGTACTAATAATTTTTATTTATTTTATTTATAACACACTCTTCATCAATAGATCAAAGTTCCAGTTCCAGCCAGAAAAAAAAAAAGTTAAAACATACTTAAAACAAAGTAAAAACTAATAAAAACATAGGAAAAAATGTACATAGAGTAAAAGCTGCCTTCCTGAATCAGAAGGTTTTAGGCCAGTAATCTGTGAACTCATCCAAAACAACAAAAGCTCATCCTTTTCTGCGTTGCAAAAATCGCAGATCACTAAAAGGAAGCTTAAACAAATAATTACTGTATGTATTTCTCTTCATGACCAGAATGTGTGATGCTGTCAGAGAAGATACGGCTTTCGCGTGCATCACACATGCGCTCCATGGCTAAGCTACACACTCTCAAACAGAAAAGTATTGACGGACCCTGAGACGTTCTAAGCCCGACCACTTCAAACCTCTGAACCAAAGTGGCTGCGATGATTCAGTCCAGGCCGAATCGCTTCCAGGCTCTAAATTAACACAGCACATTACAGAGCTGCTCCTCTGTGGGTGCTCCCTCCGCGGGATTCTATTGAGTGATGTCTTCCTAAAACAATAAAAAAGGGCATTTTGATGATTAGCCAACCCGTAAACTTTGTCTCCCACATCCTCAATCAGTGATGTGTGTGCCTGTTGTGTGTTCCTGGTTGTGTGTCCTGACTCTTGATTGGTACTTAAAAGCCTTTGAACCTGAATCACAGTGGGGTATTTAATCACATCTTACTTGGGTGGCAATTTTTGGGCAATTTAGCTTTTTTACACAGTTGCAATGTACGTGAATCTAGCGGACAGGATTCAGCTATAACACACACACACACACACACACACACACACACACACACACAAAGACAAAAGCTTGTACTGTATCGGTTGGCTGATCTCGAGTGGCGAAATCTCTTTACTTTCCTCCCCTCTTTTCTCACTCCTTGCTTAACTTAACTTGACAAATCCTGGTAAAACAAAATATTATCTTCATTTTTTTTCTAATTGAAAGGGATGACATTTACATGTTTTTTCAAGACAAACTTATGATTAGTCTTCATAAAAGTCAGACCCCATGAACTAAAAAGTCATAAGGCTCCCCAGTAAAATGACAAATACATCCTGCTGCTGGATTCCATGTAAAAATATTGTGTAATGTTATCTTATGAGATATATATCTATATATATTGTAAATAGATATATATTCCTCACATACACTTTTAGTAGAATAGATGAGCAAGGCTGTGTGGAAAAGTAAATGGAGGACTGACATGAACCTCTCAGCTGAACTTCTACATGTGATTCCAATTCAACCTTCATGCTCCCTGGGACATATTGAGACATTTCCATCTACAGAGGTGGGCGATGGATGGCTGAAGTACATGAGCGGCGATGAGAAGTGAGACGAAATGGGGGAGTGGGGAACAGAGATGATACGGAAAGAAAAAATGGAATGGAAAGGTTCGGAGATGTCAGGTGGGAGAAGACAATTTGGTACAAAAGAATAAAACATTTGGAGAGAAGAATTTGGTTGAGACGTATTTGATAACAAAGGCCTGTGATGGACGGAGAGGACACTGTCAGCCCAGACGGATTTCTGGGTGACAAGGGTTAAGATGGGGTCAAAGGGTAAGCAGTAATGCATACGTTTGTAAAAAACTAATTTAAAGACAGCGGATGACAAATGGGGAGGAGTGCTGCGGCTGGAAAGTAGAAGAGAAAGTGAGAGAAAAAAAACTAGATGAATCCAACTGAAGATTGTAAAGTATGTGTTTGACAAGAGGGACTGCCACCATTGCTGCACAAGTAAAGAAAAGTCGAAGAGGAAGGGAAGAAACGCGCAAATGTAAAGATTTAATAGTCCCAGCCCACCCTAAATTTGCTCAGTGCACTCACATGTTGTTATTCCTAGGCGTCACGGTTGAGGGATATGTGTTTATAATACGTGTTATGACTTACTTGAAATTATGAGTGTCGAGAGTCAGTGGGACAGAAACAGATGCGTCCGTGCGATGCCCGAGGGAACCATCAATACTGAGCGCAGAGTGTGCATCTGTGCGTGCATTTGCCTGTCCGTACATATTTGTGCTTTCATGTCCTCGTGTGCAATGTATTTTGTTAGCAAGAACACGGGGAGCCCACTAATATCTCCTCCCAGGCCGTCTATTATAATGTCTTCTAGTTTGTGATCATGCACCTCGACCACTTAACTGTCCGACTGTGCAGAAACATTCCATGTGCATTTTACTGCCGTTCCTTGATTGTGAGTGTGAAGATGCGGCACATGGCCGGGGGCCCCTGGCGAAGCAGTACTAGAGCCCTGTGGTGAGAGCAAGCAGAGGACATGAGAATGGGGCATGGTTGAGTGACACTATTATTTATGGCTTTGGAACACTATGTTATTTACAACCTAGCAGGTACGGAAAAGGTCTATTTCCGACAAAAGACACTCTCGCTTCATTTCGAAAGCTTACTGCAAAACAAAACTGGAAAATATACGTTTCAACTCGAAATGTGGATAATCTTAATTTCTGACATAGCATCCGTCCATATCCACAGCAAATCAATCTTGCGTTTAAGTCTCCAATATTCCTCCTACACGGCTATATTAGACATGATATGCTAATCATAAGCGTCGAGCAAGAATGCAAAACTACATGCAAACCTTTAGCTGTGCTTCCCAAGAAAAATCCATGACAGCAGATAGTTCTCCCAGAACTGGGCCAGGTTGTGTGTGTTTTCACTTCACTAATAAAATATACAGCCCACTTACTCTGCTCAACCCCACTCCCACACTCTAGTGCTCTGACCAGTGGAAGTGTGTGTGTGCGTGTGTGTGTACGGGGGTCTGGTGTGGGGGTCTAATTGAAAGAGTATGCATCAGTTTTACAGCAACAAGAGGGAAAATACGAGGGGACAAAAATCAACAA